AAATTGATAATGTTAGCATGAAATACTGAATATAGCCAACATGCCAAGAATGATCTTATAATTATGGCCACTATTTGAGCATGTTTGACACTTTAGCTCAGGCAGGATTAATTCCACTTGCTTCTGCCACATCTCAGGCTGGGGGAGGAGCGCAGACTCCTGCCGCCCATACTCCAGAGCCACGTGCCCAAGTTGACCATGCCCCAGAGGTTATACCAGTGCAGCCAGTTGTCCCAGTTCGGCCTGAGATTAGGACAGCAGTTTCAGAGGGAGAGCAGCTCAGGCTCGAGAGGTATAAGAAGTACCACCCTCCCACTTTCAGCGGTTTAGCTTCAGAGGATGCTCATGGTTTTCTGGAGGAATGTCACCGCATCCTTCGTACTATGGGTATTGTGGACTCCAGTAGGGTTCCTTTCACTGCATTCCAGTTTAGAGGAGCAGCCTACCAGTGGTGGCGTGCATATGAGTTGGATAGTCCCGTTGAGGCATCTTCACTCACTTGGACTCAATTTTCGGATATGTTCTTAAGGGAGTATGTTCCTCAGAGTCTTAGGGATGCATGGCGTGCGGAGTTTGAGCAGTTACGCTAGGGTCCTATGACTGTGTCAGAGTATGCGGTCAGATTCAGTGATTTGGCTAGGCATGCACCAGCCTTAGTTGCTACTGTTCGAGACCGGGTTCGTAGATTTATTGAGGGTCTTCACCCTAGTATCAGATACAGTATGGCCCGAGAGCTAGAGATGGACATCACATACCAACAGGTGGTGTCAATTGCTAGAAGATTGAAAGGTATGCGAGCTCGGGAGAAGGAAGAGAGAGAAGCTAAGAGACCCCGAGATTCTGATACAGTTTGGGTGATTGTGGATAGATTGTACAAGTCTGCTCATTTCATTCCTATGGTTAGTACTTACTCTTCGGAGCACCTGGCTCAGGTTTACATTCGCGAGATTGTTAGGCTTCATGGCGTATCGATATCTATCATCTCTGACCGGGGTACACAGTTTACATCGCGGTTCTGGAGAGCCGTACAACGTGAGTTGGGTACTCAGGTGGAGTTGAGTATTTTATTTTACCCTCAGACGGACGAACAGTTCGAGCGCACTATTCAGATATTTGAGGATATGCTTCGTGCATGTGTGATGGATTTTGGGGGTTGCTTGGGATCAGTTCTTGCCACTTGTGGAGTTTTGCCTACAACAATAGTTATTGGTCGAGCATTCAAATGGCACCATATGAAGCTTTGTATGGTAGACGGTACCGGTCTCCAGTAGGTTGGTTCGAGCCCAGCGAGGCTAGGCTATTGGGTACAGACTTGGTTCTGGATGCCTTGGAAAAGGTTAAATTGATTCAGGATCGATTTAGTACAGACCAGTTCAGGCAGAAGAGTTATGGGGATCAGAAGGTTCACAACGTTGCATTCATGGTTAGGGAGCGGGTCTTGCTCCGGGTTTCGCCCATGAAGGGTGTTATGAGGTTCGAAAAGAAGGGCAAGTTATGGAAATTATGGTGCTTGCCGAGTAGTCTTCTTTCAGTTTCCTTAACTAAATTGCCTTAGTATGTGTAGCTGTCATGTTTAGCCTAGTATCGTATGTCTACGTGTGTTAACCTCTACTTGAAATTTGTGCAACATGCTTATGTAAATTACTTGTTTCTGTGATCTCGTATTTAATCTTCAACTTTATGATTCCTTGTTGTAAATTCGTTGTTCCATAAGTTATGAGTTGTGTATTTACTTTTGGGACTACGAGGTGGTACCTCGGGAGATCCCCATGTCGTGTATTTACTTTTGGAACTACGAGGTGGTGCCTCGGGATATCCCGTGTTGCATACTTACTTTTGGGACTACGAGGCGGTACCTCGGGAGATCCCTCTTATCGTGTATTTACTTTTACGACTACCAGGCGGTACCTCGGGAGATCCCCTATTACATATTTACTTTTGGGACTATGAGGCGGTACCTCGGGAGATCCCCCTGCTGTGCATTTACATTTGAGACTACGAGGCGATACCTCAGGAGCTCCCCTGTTGTTTTTCTCTATTTGTTGTGCTGTTACCTTTATGAAATTTCTCGTTGTTCATTTCTCAGTCACTTCATTATATTATTATATTTTCTGCCTCATCACCTTTTATTCCAGTGGGGCCCTGATCTGACCTTATCACTAATCTACTGAGGTTAGGCTTGGCACTTAATGGGTACCGTTGTGGTAAACTCATACTACACTTTTGCACATTTTTTTGTGCAAATCGAAGTCCTTCCTACCAGGCTAGATACCAGTGAGCTTGGACCATACGTGAAGACTTCAAGGTATATCTGCCAGCGTCTGCAGACCTCTGAGTCCCCCTCTATCCTTACTATATTATTTTTCCTTATTTTCTTTAGACTCTAATGTATAGAGATACTTAGTATTTTCTCTTAGAAGCTTATGACTTGTTTCTACCGGATTTTGGGAGTTGTAAATTAATTGAATCGCATATCGTATTTATATTTTCATGTGTTGAGATTTGCATTTAGTTTTATATTTAGTTATTCCGAAAATTTTTAGGCTTACCTAATCTTAAAGATTAGGTTCCATCACGATACCCTACGGAGGAAAATTGGGGTCGTGACACCAACTTAGGGACTATGTGTCCCATTTCACTCCGAAACTCACCCGAAACAAAAACCAAAACCACCAGGAAGTCATGTAACCACAATATAACATAGAGGAAGCATAAATTAGGGGATCAGGGCTAAAATACTCAAAACGTCCGGCCGAGTTGTTACCCATAGGATACAACACTCCCTAGTCTCCTTACTAGTATAGAGTACACCAATCCCTAGGTGTGTCTTCCAACATAGGGTACACCACTCCCTAGTTGATTGAGCTTAAATGCATGGTACACCACTTCCTGATATCATTACCAATTGATCTTAAATGTAGGGTACACCACTCCCTGATATCTTAATTGATAGAGCTGAAATGCAGGGTACACCACTCTCTGATATCATTCCTAGACATATGGTACACCATTCCCTAGTCTCTTCACTAGTATAGGGTACATCAATCTCTAGCTGTGTTTTGGCTATACCAATCCCTAGTTGTATTTTTCCAACATAGGGTACACCACTCACTAGTTTAGTTGAGCTTAAACGCAGGGTACACCACTCCCTGATATCATTACCAATTGATCTTAAGTGCAGGGTACACCACTCCCTGATATCATTACCAATTGATCTTAAGTGCATGGTACACCACTCCCTGATATCATTCCTAGATATAGGGTACACCAATCTCTAACTGCATTTTCCAACGTAGGGTACACCATTACTTAGTTGATGATATTTTTGACATAGAGTACACCATTCCCTAGTATGTTTACCAGTATAGGGTACACCAATCCCTAACTGTGTTCTCCGACATAGGGTACACCACTCCCTAGTTAGCTTGATCTTAAGTGCAGGGTACACCACTCCCTGATATCTTTATTAATGTAGGGTACACCATTCCCTAGCCGCATTGTCCCGACACAAGGTACACCAATCCTTAGTTGAGATATCACTTTGAAAATAAAAAAATTCAAAATTATCATCATGTTTTCCCAGGGTACACCATTTCCGATACTTTATTGCTTTTAATAAATAAGTAGTTTAGAATTTAGTTACAATAACTCACGAAATTTTTCTAGTGAAACTGGGGAAAAACAATTTTGTTTGTTTGTTTGTTTTGGTGTCTGAGCAGGTTTTACCTCGAGGCACATGGTTCGAGATGACCAAAAGAAAAGTCTCAATCTAGAATAAAAAAATAAAAGAAAAAGAAGTGAATCCAAATGTAGAAGCAGATGAAAAGATGTGGACTGCTCAAGAAATGACTAAAGTCACGAGCATTGCACTTCCCGTATTAGTCAAAAGAAGCACTAGAAGAATGAACTAGCACCTGCAACTAGCAAGCATCAAGGTTCAGATCAGAGTTTGCGTGAAGGACCAGTCAAAACTCAAGATCAAGTTTCAGAAGACTTATAGATAGGAATCTTGTAACTCATAGCTGATAGGCTTGTTTAGTTTCTTTTTATTTTTATCTTGCTGTAATAAGGAGTTTAACAAGCAGTAACAACAGCAACAACATTGAAATCACAGCTTTTCGGTAGTCCCAGCTACAAAACTTTCCAGAACTACACTGACCTGATTCCTTTATATCCAAGAATATGTAGGCAACCTCTGAAGCAAGGATGGATCAAACTTTTTCAAAAAATGCTTCCCATGGAGTATTGAACGGGCAAAAATTATTCATAATTGCTCACTTTATCTTTGCCAGAAAATTCTTCATATTCTCGAGCAAAGAGGGACATCTGTGAACACGTAATTTTTGCCCTATTTAAAAATGCTCCTAGAAAAATCCAAAAATAATATTCTTATTTAGTTTTGGCTTTTATAGAATTTTTAAGGATTTTTATCTATATTGTTGTTTGCATTTCATGGCATTTAGGCGCGTTTTTTCATAATTAGAAATATTTTAAAATCATAAAAACATATTTTACCTTTCGTTCATGGCATTTGTAGACTTTAATTGCTTTCTTAGCTTTTCGTGGCTTATAGTTACCTTTTGTTAAATACAAAATAAAAAAAAGATATAATAATAATAATAATAATAATAACAATAATAATAATAATTCATTAGTTTTTTGACTAATCAATTAGTTTAATGCTAATTAGCTTTAATTAGTTTAAAATATTAAGCAAGTCATCCAATCAAAGCAAGTCTATTTAGATTTAAGTGGCTAATTTTGAAAGATTAAACAAAGAAGAAAAGAGGACATCCCATTGGGCTTTGTAATTCTTGACAGCCCAATTACCCTACATCGGCTCAAAAACATCTCCAAATCCGGTCCAGCACTCCACAAGGACCAAACGACCCCATTTTGACTCCAGTTGATCCCCACCGTTCATCAGCCATGATCAAACGGACCAGAGCTAACAACCCCTTCCCCATATAACTGTCTGAACCCCTACACCCCTACCCCCCCAAAAAAAAACCCTCAAACCGGCTCTCGCCCTCTCTCTCATCCTTCGCCTCTCTTCACCGTAAACCACCTGCTGGAAATCGCCTCCGCCGGCCGAAGATATCCAAATACCCTAAAATCACCATTTTCCTTCTCCTCTCCTCCTCCTCCTCTATTTCATCCCATCAAGATCGAAACCCCAATTTCCACCCTATCACACCCCATCAAAACCCTAGCCGCTACCTAGCCCTTTTCAACTTCCCGTTCGATTCACTGGCTATAACCGGCCGGAATCAACATCATTCGATAAATCTTGATCGAGTGATGTCAATTCCAATGTGTTTCATTTAAGTTTCATGCCGGGCATCAGTCCCAGTTTAACTCGAGGTTTTGAGTAGGTATCGTCCGGTTCCACCTTCTTCTAATTTCTTCCTTCTATTCCCATCACTCCAGTCGTGTGTGTAGGTTAATTTTCTTATTTTCAGCACATTATTGGATATGCTTACATGTTAGTAGTTCTCTTTTCTGTGTGGTAGTGTATCACTCCCATGTTTAGTTTTGAATTGATTGTTAGTTTGTTAGGTTTTGAATTCCGATATTGTTTGTTGTGCATGTTTAGTCTTTAAGAGTTTTCTTTTTTGGCAATCCACTAGGCAAATACCTAGGGCTATATTTTATATATAAAAAAGGAAAAATAAGAAAACGGAGTAATGTAGTGTCTTACAATATGTTGAGCCATAACCTATGTGAATTACATAGTCCCTAGTACCAAAGATGAGCACTGGATACTAAACTATGGTAGTACTTTTTGAACTAATTAAGAAATGATAATGATAATGAAATCTTCTTATGTAGTAATAATTAGATTTATAAACTAGCCATATGAGTGCAGCGATAACATCAATTATCCATAGTGCGCAGCTCTGTCGCGTGGGAATTCTTCCTTGCCTAGTGTAAGCATATTGTTGCGCTAGTAGTATGCAACCTTGTATTGATGAGATCACGATTCTTCGCTTAACATGTCCTCCCTGTATCCAGCAATTAATGTTCATGGTGACAATGCCTTCTTGCGTCCAGAATTCGCTCATGATCCTTGCCTTTGAGTGTTGATCCCCTTCCAGAACACCTTCCTTATGTGTCATAGGTGTTGTTGATAATAAGCAGCTCCTTGTTGTCCAGTTCTTGTACCCCATATAATCCATTGAAACATAGTGCCTCGTCTATATGAATCTGGGCAGTGCTATGATTATGGTGTCTTGTGTCCAGAATTTTATCACGAAACTTGCCTTTAAGTGTGAATCCTCTCCCAGAGCATCTTCCTTGCATGTCATTAGTGTTGTTGACGTAAAGCAGCTCGTTGATGTCCAACTCATGTAACCTGTGCAATCCATTGAAATACACTGCCTCGTCCATGGAAATCTGAGCAGTGTTTGCTTCTTGTGTTTGTTTCTATCCTTAGCCGATTGTATTTTACAAGTGTTTGCTAGGTTGTTTACGTTACCTGACCTAATAGAACTAAGCCAAAGTTCTCCATTAAAGTCGTAACAACCCAGCTGCTCTATTCGATTCTCCAGCATCATACTTATGCCTACCCCTACTTCCCTCCCATTGGAATGAGTACATAGTACTAATACACCAAATGGGAGTTGTTCAAGGTATAAGGCATGATTAGAATAGTGTTTCCTGGAAAAAAAAGACTAGGTTAGTAAAAAATATGGTTACCATACTCTCCTCCATAAGGACTTGAGTATGATGATCCAAATTATTTCCAGCATTCCCCTTTCTCCTGCTACTCCTTTCCTCCTCACCTCCTAACTTCTTGCGACATTTACTCTTAGATATGGGCATTGTAACTTATCACTATTCACAATACTTCTCCCTTTGACATCCAACTCTCCAAAACTGTTGCATTCCATAGGATCAGTATCTAGAGCAAAGTTGGCAATGTGATCTGCCTACTGGTTAAGTTGGGCAGTATCTTTAAGAGTTTTTGATTTTGTTTTTAACAGTTTAATTGTTGTCTAAATACTAGCTTAATTACTTGTTTAATTCATAAATCCTATTTCATAATTAGGGTAGTTTAGTTTGGGACTGTTAGGGAGTTAATGGAAAGAAAAGAAAGAGAGAGTAAAAACAGGGGCAAAGAGTGTAATTAACAGGTTTTTAAAGGGTGTGTTGGGAATTAATTCAGGGAATATATTTTCAGAAGCTTCTGGGATTGTGTAGAAAAAGGGTCAATTTGCAAAAAAAGGAAGTATAGTACATGCTAAGTATTTGGGGGTGAGGGGGTAAATAATTAAAAGAGGAGGGATGTAAAAGAAGGAAAATAACTGAAAAGGAATATATGCATTTTTTATATAACAGACCCATTCTGCACTCATCTGGGAACACCTTCACTGCCAATTCATTCTCATCTACACTCGCTCATACACTCTCTCTCGTCTGCACCAATTCACTCTCTTTCTCTCACCTTCACACACGGAAAACACATTAGTAGCTAGAATTTCTGGAAATTCAAAAATTCCAAATCTGTAGAAAAACCAAAAGCTCCAAAAAACACAAAAGAAAAATCTCAAAGTGATTTCGAGGTCTATTAGAATAGTTCAATAATTTCAGGGTTTTCAAGTTGCTGTTGGATTAACAATTGAAACTGTTGATGTACTTCTGCTGTTTTGCTGTCCATTTGTAGCTGAATTTTATCATTTCTTCTTTTCAGACATTTATTTGGTCTTCGATTGTTGTTTAGGTATGTTTAGCTATCGCTGCTGCTCTTATTTGAATCCTAAATGAAAATTCAATTTGTTTATGTGCTAATTCTGTTCAATTTCACAGATCTGGTCATGTGTAATTATCGATTTGTTTCGATTTACTTTCCCTGTTAAGTTTTGAAACTATTATGCTCCAAATCTACTTGAACTTCTTTTCCTGATTAATGTCTGATGCCATTGGTATGTTATAATTAAAAGTTCAAATTGTCCTATAGCTTTTGAATAATTTAACACCTGTTTGTTAACAGCTTCATTCCTCGTCTAAAACAATGACTCATGTCTAAAGTGATCTCAACGGGTTAAACTAATTTCAATTATTGTTTACCTGTTGGATTATTGTTGGTTGCTTCTTTGCAAGCTGAAGATCTGTTGGAGAAATGAATACCCATGGCCAAGGAAAGCTATTTTCATTGGAATATTAGTGCAATCGAATCACGGATTTAAATTAGCTAGTTGAGATCATGTACTTCATGTTCTAATTAGTGACATGTATAATCAATTTTAAATTCTTTACTAATGTAATTAACTCTATCTTCTATTAGGATTTGTGTTGTAATATGATCAATTTTGTGCTGCTGATTTTATTTCCAGTAGTTTAGATTCCCAATTTTGAATTTCAGGAGTTGAATTTCCTTCTGTTGCAAAAAAAAACGCCATTGGGCCTGTGTATGATAGACTCTAGAGTCAATTGGACTCTACAATGGTCCAGCCCAACTGTTTCAGGTCCATAGAGGACCTGTTTGAAGGGGCAAACCATTTCTAAGGCAATGTTTAGGCCTCAATCCAAGACCATATATATTCCACATGATCTATTGGAAGTTTAAGAGGAATTAACTCAAATAGCCGTCCACCCGATCTTTTAAACTAAAAATTGCCGACGGATGTATACTATATATATAATTCGTATATAACATATGTATAACTATGTATAATTAGTATATAATTTATGTATACCGACTAAAAATAATAAATATTAAATCTGATCGGCTATTTGTGTAACAATCACGAAGTTTAACTTGAGTGGCAAAATCGAACTTGACCTATAATACCTTTGTTTAACTACCAGCCGCATAGATGTAAGCAATCCAAAGGGGGAATCACCATCAGATCAATAAAACGTCATTAATAGCAAACACAAATCCATTTGTTAGTTTATGTACCTCTTGGACATTTGTATAAATCATTCTATCCAACTTGCTAAACCCATAGTTCCAGTACCACACTTTCCATAAAACCATCATCGGCTGATCCTCGCAATGGCCTCAAATTTAGGAAAAAGAACAATTCATGAACAATCATAGTTGCTTTTACACTCGCCTAATAAATAAATTATCATGATTATGGGTACGATTCTCGTGGCATAGTCATGATACGTAACTCCAAATTTAAGTGTACGTTCGCGTGACTTGACCCTACAACTTCAAATAATTTAATAATTAAATATATTGTAAATCGCGGGTGCGTTTCACGTGGCGCGATTTGCGATGTGTATAAAACAACAAGTATACGACATCGTAACTTATTTTAAAATTAATTCATAAATACCTAAAACAGATTAAAAATAAAATAAAAGCGGTAGAAGGTAAAACACACATAAGTTTTTAAAACACGCAATGATCAGATAATCAAGCCAAGTGTAATTGTAAAACGATCGTGCTAAAACCATGAAATTCGGGAGTGCCTTACACCTCCTCCCGTGTTAATAGAATTCCTTACCCGGTCTTCTTTGTTTCGCAAACTTATATAGAGTCAACATTTCTTTAATTTGGGTTTTAAAATAAATGGCAACTTGGTACGCCTTAAATAATTATTCCAAGTGGTGTCTCTCTAAAAGATTAAAATAAATTAATCACATTTCAATAATTTCACTTAAAGTGGAAAAATTCCTTTTCCCGTAAAAAGAAAGTGTGACAAAGAGTATATTCATGCCAAACAAAATCACAAAACGAATAGGGCATTTTTTATTAAGAAAATATATATATTCATGCCGAACAAAATCACTAAAAGAATAGAGCATTTTTTATTAAGAAAATTCTACATTTTAAAGATTCAAAATCAAAAATTAAAAGTGAAGGAATCACAATCATGCCCCCCAACTACTAAATGGTTAGGGTATGCTCCTTATTAATTAGGTACTCTCATCATGCTCTTTTACTACGAGTCTTTACTGTTCCATTCTTGTTAACCTTTTTCTTACCTTTCAGGTCAAAATTTCATAAATAATCTTTAAATAATCAAGTTAGTTAAAATCTAATTAAAGATTACTTTATAATTATTTGGCCAAATTTGTTTGATTACTGTTTTTGTAACGTTAGTCTTACAAAGATTAATACTCGTAGCATGTACTAATTCGCATTTGATGTATGCATCAAAACCACATTTATTTATCATAGTGCGTGATATTGTGGTAAAAATACATATCCTATTAATTAACTATATTTAAATGATAAGTTTATATGGAAACACTTTGTTTGTTTCATTTTTCGGCCCCGTTGCAGCTGTGCATGTGCTCTCAGCCGCCCATGCATTGTTCATAACACTTCTCTTAATTCTTTTTTCGTTTGTTGTATTCTTACGATACATCTTTATTAACTTCTCTTTAGTTTTTTTCACTACTCTATGTTAATACTAGTTATATATATATATATATATAATTACCAGCTCCTCAAAGTTGATGATTATACGTCTTTGCAAGACAGTAACTTTATTTCAAAGTTTTTCAGGTCCGAGTTTGTTGGAAGAAGACTGCTAAACATGATAAGGGTTATTGCCTAAGAAAATACGCATGCATAAGTGAGAGACTAGAGTTCCAAGATTTGTTGAGTCCTTGGAGTAGTAGGAGTCCTATCAAACGAGAAGGTGACTACACACAGGACTCCTAAAAGATCTCAGAGTCCAAGGATTTTAAATACTATCTTTTTGGACTGCTGAGATCATTCTTTTACACATCAACTAAAAAACTACATTTTTTACACTCAACTTGAGTACTAGTGTTATGTTCTTCTTGAGTCAGTCTAGTAAATATGTTTTATAAAATCGAGTTGTAATCAAAGTGTTATATACAATCAGTGAGTTGGAGTGGGTGTTTGGTTTTTTAAATTAGAGTAACTTGTAAATCAAATAGTTGGAGAAGGAGAAATGGAGAGTATTGAGTTGCAGATTTGTAATCAATACATTTGGCTCATTGTTCTAGTGAAGTTGAAGTTAAAAACCCTATGTGGTAGGTCTTGGTTTTGCACCTTTTGAGCCAGGTGATTTTTCATGTAAAAATTAATGTGTTTACTTTACTGCTTATTTTTACTTTACGCGTAAGGAGTAAGGTAACGAACCAAGTTCTTTAGTAATTCATAAAGGCACTCAACTTAATAATTGGTATCAAAGCAGATTTTCTCACACACAGTTAACACCTAGAGAGATCTTAGAAGTAAAATGAGTGCTCCACCTGGAATTAACGAAGGACAATCAACTACCAGACCACCCTTGTTTAATGAAAAATAATACAATTGGTGGAAAGCAAGAATAGAAAATTTCCTGACGGCTGAGGATTATGAACTATAGACCATAGTGAACCAAGGTTCAGTAACTCCTCCTAAACAAAATGTGCAAAATGAAACTGTCCTAAGGACCCCTTTGAATTTGTAGCAGCAAATTTTAGAATGATGGAGAAGAATGTAAAGGCTAAAAAAATTCTTATCTGTGGACTTGGTCTTGAAGAGTACAACAGGATATCAACTTGCTCTAATGTAAAGGAGATCTTGGATGCACTCCAAACTGCTCATGAAGGAATAAATCAAGTGAAGAGATCAATGAAAGAATTACTTATGAGGAACTATAAGCTCTTCTCCATGAAGGAGTCTGATCCCATCCAGGAGATGATGACTAGGTTTATTATAATAACAAATGAACTAAAATCATTGGAAAATGTATTTACCTTAGAAGAGTTGGTTAGCAAAGTTCTAGGAATTCTTCCAGCCTCATGAGAATCAAAAGTCATAGCTATTCGGGAAGCCAAAGACTGCCCAATGTGGGAAATTGAGTGGAGAAACAGTGGTAAGACTAAGCAGTGGTAAGCATCTAAGAGAGAACAATGGTAAGCCTAAGAAGATCGACAAATCCATTTATGATGGGTGTCACAAGTATAGCAAGCTAGACTACATGGTCAAAGACTATCCAATGTGGGAAATCGAGTGGAGGAAAGAGCGAGCTGAAAAAGAGAAAGAGGAAAAAATGAGAGAGAAGGGTCCAAACAAAGGAAAAATCCTAGGTAAAGGATTCATTGAAGTAATGAAGCAGGCTTTTCTAGCAGTATATGAAATCAGTGGAAGTGATAAAGAGGAAGAGAAGGAGGATGAGGCCATAAGTCTCTATACTGTAATTGATGCACATCAGATAGTGGAGACAGAACCTCCAATACAACTTGGAATGCACATTGGAAGACCTCCTCGTTTTGATGGACATCACTATGATGAATGAAAGATGTGTATGGAATATTACTTCAGGCCACTAACTTTGATCTATGGATTATTGTTAGTCATGGACCAATCATCCCTACCAAAATGGATAGTGAAGGAAACAAATGTAACAAGAGAGAAGAGGATTATGATGACGAAGATCGTTAAGTAATCTAGAAAAATGCTAAAGCAAAGGACTTGCCCTGCAGAAGTTTGCCCAGAAATATTCTCTACAAGGTGTTCTCTTGCATCTCTGCTCATGATATATGAAGGACCTTGAAAACTAATTTTGGTGATGAAAATATCAAAGTGGCACTGATGGCAATTGAAGAAAGCAAAATAGAAGAAGAAGTGATAGGGATGATGGCCTTGTGTGATTCAGATACTGAAGATGAAACAAATTAGGTAAGTATCTCTAACTTGAAATAAAACATTCATGCTATATCTAAAAAACAGCTGATGGTTGTAATTGTGACCATGATGAGTGAGATAGACAAAATGAGTACTGGAAATGCTCAGTTAATAAGCAATCTTTCATATGTCAAACTTGACCTCAACGAACTTGAATCTGACTAAGCTGATCATAAAGGACAAGTCAAAGACATTAAGAATCAGGTTCTTGAGTTTACTTCTAAAAATAAGAAGTCACCTGATACACATAGTAAAGGAAAAATGAGTGATATGCAAGATAAGCTTGAAAAGGCACTGAAAAGGGTTAAAGATAATCTTTGTGATGCTGAATGTAGGAATAAAGTAATGCAAGAAAATATGGAAAAATCTAATTATGAATTATCTAGGCTAAGCAAGTGGCATGGATCCTCAGATGCACTAAATTGGCCGAATGAGAACTGTAGCACTAACAAATCAGAAATTGGCTATAGAAAACTTGTTCCCAAATTTGATTCAAAGTATGTAGGAATTTCTGATAACAAGATGTGCACTCATTGTGGGAAGGTAGGACACTTTAGAGATACTTGCCCTGCCTTAATTCATGCTCAGTTTAAGAACACATGTGGTCTTGCTAAAAAAGTGAAAAAGGAAGAAGAACCAAAAGTCAAGCCTCTTGTCCCAACTAAGTGGATTAAGGTTAACAAGAAAACAGTTATTAATCATCTTCCCTTCTGGGCA